CTTTTTTTCTCTTTCTTGTTCTGTGTCACATAAAGGAGTCACTTTAGCCACTCACTCACGTCTATTTCGTATAACCCTAGACTACATTCACATTGTACGTCTTTATTTTTTTCTTTTCTGTGCTTTAGACAGAAAATAGAAAATTATAATAACACTGGTCGACTTTCTTGTCATATTTCTTACAAGATTCTTGTCACTTGCGATTTGTCGGGCACATATTTACAATTATGATAGTGACGTATGAGTCGATTATTAGATCTATTTCGAATGTGTTCGTTACTTTGTTTTTCTTTCGTAGCAATTGGTTAAAACATTCGAAATATGTGGTATGCCAATTCGTACCGGTAAATTTGTTGCTCGAAAAAATTGGATCATTATTGCATCGGTATGTATACTGTGAAAAATTGACGTATCTCATTAATTCTTTCTAGGATGATCAATTTATTCGTGTTTATGATTACAATACCTCAGAACAAATACATCAATTTGTAGCACATGATGATTTTATTCGTTCCATTATTGTGCATCCTACTCAATCCTATCTTTTATCTGCTAGTGGTATGTGAGAGACTCATCTATCAGTTTCACTTCTTGCACAAGATCTCTTTTTCTAGATGATATGACTATCAAACTATGGGATTGGGATGCACAATGGACATTAAAACAAACTTTTCAAGGACATACTCATTATGTCATGCATATTGCCATCAATCCCAAAGATGGTCAGACATTTGCTTCTGCTTCTCTTGATTACCATCAAGGTAAGATCAAGAATTAGCTAAGAAACTTTTGAGTTGTTCGATGTAAACGCATTAGATATAGCATTTGGATTCTTCTGAAGCGACTGTGACTTTGGAAGGTCATGTGAAAGGTGTTAATTGTGTGCATTATTGCTCTGATGATGATAAACCATATCTCGTTTCGGGTAGTGATGACCATCGAATCAAAATCTGGACATATGAAGTAAGAGACAACTATGAATTTCTTACTGTTTAACATCTCTTCTCCTCGAAACAGACTAAGATGTGTATACAAACATTGGAAGGACACTCAGATAATGTCGATTGTGTTGTTTTCATCCTAATCTACCGCTGATAATGAGTGGTTCAGAAGATGGAACAGTGAAACTATGGAATTCGGAAAGTTATCATCTCGAATCAACACTGCAGTATGATGTTGGAAGATGTTGGTCAATGTCATGCTCGAAAAGCTTGAATTATGTGGTACTTGGTTATGATCAAGGAACGTTGATAATTCAGGTACGAATTAGAAATAAGATAAACAAAGAGAGGTTATAATGTTATTTGACTGTTTTAGGTGGATCAAGAGAAACGCAACATATCGATGGATCACGTATCAGCAGATAAAAAAGCTGATTGAATAAAAGAAGGCAAACAATATGGCAATACGTTACAATAAACCAGAAAACTTCCTATGAAAATAGAAACGCTCTTTTTTTAAATAGTTGAATGAATAAATAATTCATTTTCATCTACTGCTAGCAGAATGTGTAATGAATCAACAGTGCCATCTCTATCGATAATGACATAGAAATAATTGTTGAGTGGGAAGGTGGGCAAATGAATGAGGCTGACATTGTAATCATCTCAATATAATCTAACACAACACTCGTGCCTGGTTGTCGTTGCATTAAATCTACACAACAAGAAATACTATACATTGCTTGTATACAGTTATAATACCCACTGATCGTCGAAAATAAGCGTTGCTATATTTCCTTAGACATTTGGTAAATTATTCATTCGAAGTATACTCTCTTGCCATTAAACATTTAATAGGAGAAATACACATATTATGAAAAGAGAGGAGAAGTGTTTTATTCTTCAGATGAGAAAATACGTTTTTGTTGTCGTAATCACATCTAAACTGCTTTTGGATTGAATACATTCGATAATCTAGTAAAATTGATGAACATGTCTATTATATGCACTCTTTATAACAACCATCTCTCTTGAATATCGACTAAAGAAATGTATTGGGCTTCCACGGATGTAGTGTCACATTACAAATTAATTGCGTTGCTTTATCTTGTGTTTCTCATAAAAGTGATGCCTTATCGATAGATCAAGAGGAAGAACCTATAGAAATGCTCTTTTCTTATCAATCATAACGTCGATTGATTTTATTTGCAATTTCTTATGTTGGAATTTACCAGACTGACAAAGGTTAAACTATATATAGAGAGAAATAAAACTAAGGATATTTCATCGTTTCGTAATGTAATCATGGACTCTTCAATTTGTAAAGCTATAGCATAATGGACATTAGCTGTGGAAAGTGTAACAACGAATATGCAATTATTCGTTGATAAAATAGCATTAGGTATGAGTTGATATTAACCGTTCTTTCGATAGACCATTAACATTTCAATGTGTCTGTGACATCGAAATCAAACATTTGAACAACATGAACCTTTACGACACATGATATTATTATCATCGATTAGACCAGGCAAGGCTACGATTGCATCATCACAGAAGACCGTAGCGCGTCGCCATGAATATCGTTGATGTACTAAAATCCGTACTGTACCACCCAATAGAATATTATTTAACGGATAATAGAGCTACCCTTAGGTCCTCATGTTCCATACAGTGGGGGTACCCTTATGTCCTCAAGTGCTGTTCTGTATAGTTTCTCACTGGTTCTCAAGTGGTATATAATTTTCCCTCGACTGAAGGTAGGGTCGAATAATATATAATGCCTCCGTTTGTTTGTGTCAGAGTCAAAGGTCTAAAAAACATCTACATTGTAGGCTTATGCTAGAAGAGAGTATCGATACATCCTCAAGTCCTATATATATTGTGAGGGTACCGAGAGTCCTGAAGTTCTATCTTGTGAGGGTACCCGTAGGTCTTCAAGTCATATATCATGTAGTTATCCATAGGTTCTCAAGGTCCTATATTATGTGGATATCCATAAGTTCTCAAGTCTTATAGTTTAGTGGTGCGCATTGCTCTTCCGCAGCTTTGTATTGTGGTACGCATGGGTCCTTAATCGCTAATTTGTGGAAGATGTTCTTTATATTCATACAATCCAAGCAAGCCAACACGACAAGAAAATTAAAGTGTTGTTTTAGAATCTATTTTATTCGACAGAACCATTTTCAATTTTTATGGGAATTCTATCTTTTTCAAACTACATCGATAATCATCAATATATGTTAACTTATAAATATCAAATCATAACTCATAAGCGCCCGTAATACGATCAAAAATCAAATTTAATCTGAAGAATTTGAATATTCTTTATCATTAACTTATGACTCTGACTATCTAAAACTACCTGTCGTGTTCAATCTTTTCGTGCTGCTGTACTTACGAGTAACTAAGACTTTTAAAATAGAGAATAAAATAAGAAAAAGTTACGATAAGAGTCGATTTTTTCGATTGTTTTATGGAACTTCTTGCAAAAAAATCCATAACTCACTCATTTTTAGGTTCTAACGTCTAAAAGCTTGGATTTATCAGTAATTCTGAACGCTCTATCTATGAGATGATCTCATTGAGATTACTGAAAGGCATGTTCATTTCTGGTCGCATTACGCTTTCTCAACAGCCTGATAAATCGTCTCTTAAACCAGACTGTCCTGAAACCTTATCTTATTTTCTCGTAGTGAGCTTACACTTTCCTCTCGTATATTAAAATAATGATCAGTCTAATTCGTTTTATTGCTGCTTAATTTATTTCTTTAATATCCCGTGTAAACGTTCAACACTAAACTTAAATCATTTCCAACCTTTCAAAGTCTAGAGATAAATTTAGTTCTACTTTTCAATTTAAGTTCATAGTTGTTCCTCCTTTTTCTAGACAATTCTCAATTAGCATCTATTTTAACAAAAAGAAATAGTGTTACGAGAGCACGTAAACCGTACAAAAATGAAAAGTACAGTTTTCATGCACCAACATCATGTCGAACATTAAAACAAAGACCATCAACGTATGTGGAAAAATGTCTTAGAAGCTTTAGTTTAATAGCTGTTGTCACCAATTGCAAAATAATTATTGGTTTTTGTGAAATTTATCGTTCAGAAACGTTAAAAGAAATAATAAATGTTTTTATGAAACTGATAAAAACTTCAAAAACGTTACCTAATAATATCATTTATGATGACAGCTGTCATCTAGTCAAATATTTCAAGAATAATCTTGGAAAAATAATAAAAAAACGCCAGAAAGTGAATATTTTTATAATTGCACATTTTCTCTCGATCGTCTTCACTATCAAAATCATGTTGATACTTGCTGTCGAGCAAACATGAATCCGAACAAAAATGCAGCATTAGACAGTGTCAATACACAGAGTGCAGAACAATATTTCAGTTGGCTTAAATCATACGCCACCATAATGCCATCAATGGGACACAAAAAGTGTTCTATGTATCTACTGTTAATTTTTCATCTTAAGAATTGCGAATATTTGGAAATAAAAAACAAATGAAACAGAATATAAAATGATATGATAATGCTTTTAAAATTTCTATTCTGAGTCTACTATTTAGCTGTTTTTAGATGAACGGACAAACATATGTACAGTTAAAACTCGTAACACAGTCAAAACCGGAGCAAACTGCGTCAGGATATGAAGCTATACTATATTTTCTCTGCTCAGTCTGATTGTGTGCTGAAGATTAGTGAAAAATCTTCTCTTTCCTCTGATGGTCTCTAGAAACCCTTGTCAAAAACCAAAGTATTATCTGTTGGCTTTTGGAAGCTCTATCAAAGTCCATGATATAGTGGTGTTAAAATGCAGTACATCATGATATCCTGACGCAGTTTGCTTCGGTTTTGACTGTGTCCCGAGTTTTCTAATTTTACTCAAAAATATGCAAAAATGGGATATTTCAACTAATATGGATTTTCACTGCGCTTCTGCAGTGTTTTCGAAAAGCAAACATTGCCACATGATTCAGCATAATCGATAAGCTATGCTTTCATTTATTTTTGAGTTTCCCCACTTGGAAATGAAGAGTTAGGTGGGTCTCAGCAAAACTGCTCCCTCGGCCAACGGTAAACTTAGCGAGCGGGCATTTGCGTAGATCGATGGAGCATAGTCTGACGGTTTCAACCCACTTATGAGCGTTCAAAAATATTTTTTTTGTTCCTACTTTGGTAACCTAATCTTTCAAACACTGATGCGGGACACCACTTGCAGGTCGTATTTTTAGATAGATTTTCCCACAGACTAATAACTAAAATCAATTTCTCACGTTCTAACTTCATATTATTGAATTCTTTGGGCATTACTCATTACTTTAGCAGTATGTAGAAATTTAATCTTCATTTTCCTTTTTATGCCCTATTCCCTTCAAGCTAAGAACAATCTTTTTCAAACAATAATACACTTTACTTTAACACCTTACGATACTCATCAGTTATTCTGAAATATACTTTCTTCAAATGCATGTCAGAAATTTTTGCTTCAAGAAATAAAACCCGAAACACTCTTTACACCGAAACAGTCCCTACAGAGAAATTCTCGTGACAGACGATCTGTTATTAAAGTGTGCCTCAAAGTCTCCTTTGAATGGTGAGAATGCGAACTCTCTGTCACGTTCCATTCTCGAGATATTTAAAAAATAGTCAATGACATGGTATTTTGAAACGGATAGTAGTCGTTGTTGACTGGGTCACTTAAAACCGAGCGTAGTATTACAAGAGAGAACTTCGTACACTAGCATAGAAAATTAAACATGGATGAAAAGTGGAATCAGATTGATAAAGCTCATGTAGTATGTCAAAACTGCGGTAAAGTCGATATAAGGAAATATGTTTGACGGTAAAAGAGCTGCTATCTAATGACCGCAAGTACCTCGTTTCTACGTCATTAATTGTTGACACTTGACCATTTTTACGTCGTCCGAATGCTGTAATTATGACCATAAAATGACTCCTACAACTGATTCAACCGGCGGTCTCATTTTACGGTCGTAACTATACCATTCGAATGAGATAAAAGTTGCTAATATATGTCTCATAAATGAGGTAAAAATGATGTATTTATGATCATCGAAAACGAGCATTTATCGACTATCCAATTAATGGTCTAAAAATGGCTCATTAATGTGTGAGAGATGACACAGAAATGATCATTATTGAATGATCATTTTTACCTAGTAAATAAACGATCTAAATACGACCGAATAATGAAACCGTATATGGGATAAAAATGCTGTAAATATGACCATTAATGGCTAATAAACTGTCAGCTAATGACTAATTAATGAGCCATAAACGTGCCATTTTTTATCTCGTTTTCATTGTCCTAGGTACTCCATAGGAGAAATCAAAGTGTGAAGTGTGCACTTTGCTATAATATCGCGTTAAAAATGCTGCAAACTATCTTTATTATTCCGTTT